CAGACAGCATCAAGCAGAGGATGGCAGATGTTACCCAGGTGACCCAGATAGACGGGAGAGACAGGATTCCTAAAAGGTTCTGCCAACTCTGTCTCCTCTTAGAGCATTAAGTATCCAATACAATGTACCCTGCATTATATTAGCCAGTGGCTTCCTCAGTGGCTGTGTGGAAGCCACTGCTTATTATAGCCATGTGTAGAGAAACATCTTGGGGAATCAGGCCAAGGTTGCAGTGTTGGGCACTAGGGAGAAAGATAACAATAGAGGCAAACACTATTCTAAACCATTTGTAATCTAGGAATAACTGGGTGAACATTATAAGGGAAGAGATTTTTTGGAAAAGGAGTCAATCATGGTGGATGCCAACAGCAGTGCGGGTACTTTGTATGCCCACCCTCCTCTCAGCGGGTCCGTCCCTTCTAGGCCAGGCTCACAGTCCCATTTCACAGCTAGAACAATCTGGAAAAAAATGAAAAGTGCCCACGATTGAACAGCTGAAACGCAGAAAAGCACGGATACAACCTCAGGCGTTCCTGCGTGGAAAGCTACACTTTCCTCCCCAGCATCTGCCAGACCCAGTGGGAGGAAGACAGGAGAGGACCCAGAGTCAGCAGTCGTGACCAGCAGGGTGGTCCAACAGTCAGAAAGGTAGGGGAAACTGAAGCACAGAGTGGGGCACAAAGGACTAGACCAGTGTGGGATCCTCAGTCAGAGAATCTAATCCCTAAAGAAAGCTGGGCAACAGGAAATGGTTGGATTACATGCTTGACTCATCACTGTGTGACTTAGTTTGTTTTCTGGGTATGAGAAAAAGCACTGACTAAAAGCAACTTAAGGGAAGAAAGGAATTACATCATCATATAACTTCCTGGTCACATCCATCACAGAAAGAAGTCAGGACAGGAACCCCAGATAGAGGAACAGAGAGCTAGCTAGGCTGGAAGCAGAACTGGCCACAACCCACAAAAGTTCACGCTCAATGACCGACCTCCACCAACCAGGCCCTGCATTCTCCCAAACCACACCACCAGCTGGGGACCAGCTGAGTTTGTGGGGGACATCCCGAGTTGAGCTATAGTGTGGATCAAATCAGACATCCCCCTCATTTGAAACATAGTCTAATTTGCTCCTCAAGTCCAGCTGTAGAAATGAATCTAAGTCCTAAGTGATGCCAGTTCGTGGGTGATACCTCACCTATTCTGGTAGCCACAGAGCATGTGCATGTCATTCTTGGGGCCAGATAATACACAAAGGCATTTGTATCAGCATCTCACAGGGAGATGTTACCAGGTGAAAGTTTCAGGATGCCTTGGAAAATTAAAATGCCAATATAGCAAACAGGCGGGAAAGTGCAGTCATGGAGAAAGCTATTAGTGAAGGCATCAGCATACTGATTTTTATATCTTCTGTCTTTTCAGTTTGTCCCAGAGTGAAGAATGCGATAATATTTACCTCTACCTCTCACAGATGGGAGATCTCCCAAGGTGTTGGATTTTCTCCATTACCTGTGTTCAGATTATTTTAAAATGCAACGTTATTTTAAACAGTCCCCTAAAGCTGAATAGATGGCTCAGTCCATAAAGTGTTTGCTGAGAACGTACAAGGACCTAATATCAATCCCCAGAATGTACAGTCAAACCAAAGCCATGTGTGACGGTGTGTACTAGTAACCCCAGCCCTGGAGACAGGCTAAGAGGCAGGCAGATCCCTGAGAAGCCACCTAGCCAAATCAGCAAGTCTCAGGTCAGTGAGAAACCCTGCCGCAGGAAAATCAATGTGGATGGTGTCCTGAGGAATGACATTTGAGGTCAACTTCTGGTCTGCTCATACATTTACACACTGCTATTCATAAACACATACATGCATGCTCATACCTGCACAAAAATAAATAAATGGTATCCATAATTAAGTAACTGAGGGATATATACAATCAGCCCATAGGTGGTAAGTGGCAAGAAGGAGAGAGATAGAACAATTTTCATTTCTAAGCAATGGTTCAATGTCACACATGCATATACATATGTATATTTATAATTGCTTGGCACATGGCTGTAGTACTATTAATACAAACCCAGAGACAAATATTGGGGTTCAGCCTGAAGGTCAGAAAAGCAAAACAGTCAGCCACTAGCTATTACCTCTTCTTCAGTCTGAAATGGCGATCCTGCCTTCAGGAATCTCAAAAGGAGACTGAATGCAAGCTGTCTTCTCCCATCTTATAATCCACTCTAGGACTGGGATTAAAGGCATGCACCACTATCGCCTGGTTTCTATGGCAAACAAATGTGGGTACTGGGATTAAAGGTATGTGTCACCACTGCTTGATCTGTAAGGCTGACTAGTGGGGCTGTATTATTCTCTGATCTTTAGGCAAACTTTATTTATTAAATTACAAATGAAATATCACTACACATGGCCAATACCTCAGGAGGGGCTGTTGGTGTTTTTAGCTGAGGTTTATATCAGTATTAACATTGGAATCTTGACACATGTAAACTCAAATCAAGGCTTTTCAATCAGCTATATGACCATGGGAAAATTGCTTCATGTCTCTAGGCATCCTAGTTAGCATTAACTGTCTATTCAGCACACACAAGAACCACCTGAAATGAGTCTCCATTGAGTAACTGTCTTTACCAGGTTGGTATATAAACGTGTCTGTGAACAACAGTCTTGATAGTCTTAGTGGATGGAGAAGGGACTAGTCTGTTGTAGATTGTACCGTGGTCTGGGCAGGCAGTTGGGAGCTTTATCAGACAGTGCTCCTGAGAGTAATTCAGCAAGCAGTGTTCCTCCATGGTTCCTGCCTCCCGTTTCTGTCTTAACTACCCCTCAAATGGACTGAGAACTGAAAATATAATCTAAATAAACTCTTTCCTCCTCAAGCTGGTTTTTTTTTTGATCAAAGTGTTTTTGCACAGCAACAGAAATCAAACTTGAATACCAGGGCTCAATGCAATGGGATTAGATCACTTTCCTCAAGGAGGTACTGTAGGAAGATTTCATGAAACGTTGCATGGATAGAAGCTGGCCATGTCATTTCAGCATCAGCCCAGAAATCACACTTGGTATCAACTATCTTGAGTATGTCTTTTGAAGTTGGGAGGTCCCCTCCTTACCAAGCCACTGAAAATTTATGAGGCAGCTTCTTCTAAACTAGTCCATCTCTACCACTACCCTCCCCACACCCCAAGGTTCATTATGATTCCTAGACTAGGAATTTGGATCTCTATCACTGAACTTTAATCTTACAGAATGTTCTACTTCCTTAGTGAGTCATGGCAACATCTTCCTCCCACTGGGTCACATAGAACATAAATAAGTATTTTCTACACATTGTTTGCAAACTGCATGCCAGCTAATCACACAATGATTCAAGCTCAGATAGCCTCAGTGTCTCATACCCAAATCTAATCCCCAAAGAATCAAGATGAAATCAAAATGGAATTGGTATCAGGAGGATGGGACCCCTAATGTGGGATTCCCCTCTGTATGTGGCGATTATCATTAATTAATAAAGAAAACTGGCTCGGCCTAATAGGGTAGCGTAGAGCTAGGCTGGAAAAACTGAATGGTGGGAGAAAGGAGGTGGAGTCAGGGAGAAGTCATGTCACCCCATCAGAGACAGACGCCGGACAGAACTTTACCGGGTAAGCCACAGCCACGTGACAATACACAGATTAATGGAGATGGGTTAAATTAATATGTAAGAGTTAGCCAATAAGAAGTTAGAGCTAATGGGCCAAACAGTGCTTTAAATAGTACAGTTTCTGTGTAATTATTTCGGGGCTGAGCAGTCTGGAACCAACAAGTGGCCTCCTCCAACAGATCCCATGGTGGCATCATATAAGAAGAAGGGAAGGTCAATGAGTTTGCTCTGTGCATAAAGGCACTTGCTGTCATGCCTGATGGCTTTGATTTCCAAGATGCACAGAAGAGGAGGAGAAAATCAGCTCCTACATGTTGTCTCCAGATCTTTGCACATAGACTAAATAATTAAATATAATTAAGAAGAAAGAAAGAAGAAGAGAGGGAGGAGAACGAAGAAAAAGAAAAGGGGAGGAAGTAAGAGGGAGAAGAAAGGGAGACAGAATTGAGGAAGAAAAAAAGGAGAAAGAAGTGGAGAATGGGGACAGAGCTGGGCTGTTTTCTGCTTTACCACACAATGAGCTCCACAGTGTAATCATGTATTGTGAAGCTCCCTGTCCTCTCTATGTACCAAGTACATTGCAGTCCCCCACCCCTAGGTCTCCCAGCCCCTAAAACCACTAGCCAAAATAAGTCCATCCTTTATAAATTACCTTGTTTCAGGCATTTTGTTATAGCAACAAAAAATGGACAGTGTTGCCAAGCTTTTATCTATGCCCCACATTCCCACACCCACCCCTCAAAGCAGGCAAATTTATTGACAGTTATTTTAATAACTTTCTCCTCGCACACCATCCGCCAAGTTTACACAGCGGTTCTGTGTGTAGGCATTCCTGAGCATAAGGCCGACGGCCTAGGATTAAAATAGTTTTCAGCTAAGAGAAAACCACAAAAGAGGAAGGAAATTCCTGGTGAGCAAGAAGGCTTTGTACACCTGTGGCCTTATCACCCAGGAGCTACAGCCTGTGGTACCTGGTGGTACCCTGCAGTGCCCTGGTGCCACATGCCATGCCTCATGGAAACGGTGATGGTGACAGCTGCCTGCATCTCCCATGCTCTTTACATCCTTCCATCGTCTCTGCACTAGATATGCTGTATTTACAAACTACTTCTTTTTTTCTCACAACCCTGGGCATGGAACCCAGGGTCTCCAGCAAGTTAAGCAAATGCTCCACCACTTAGCCATATCCTGGGCCTAGCTACATTATTTTTAATATAGGTAAACTGAGGCGTAAAGGACCTACATGCCTGAAGTAGCACTCCATGGCTGAATAACTTCCCAGTTGGTTTCCTTGTGGCCTCAAAGCAACCAGCAAGCCAAGCTATAAGGTACCTCATTTCCCACCTTACCTTGCGGCATTTCTCACTGATTTTCATGTTCCCATTGCTCACGAAGCCTCACATCCTTATCTTGATTCATATATAACAGAGAACACAAAGAATCCAAAATAGACCACAGGGAGTCTGCTAAAGAGCTTGCAGACACCAAGCCAATCGAGGAGCATTGCATTTTGGGTCGGAGTTAATTCTGGAAGGGATTGCTGAAGAGAAATAATAAAGGGATTTCTTATAAAGAAGAAAACAGGGACCAGAAGTTTCTTAAAGAAAATGGAAGCATCCAAAGCCAGCAATAACTAAAAGCAGAAGCCCGAAGTGGCAAAGTGGCAGAGCTATCACTGTTCTGTAGGAACTGTGCAGATGTAGGTGTTCTACTTCCATTTCTGCTGCGGTGTTAAAAGCACCCCAACAAAAAGCAATTTAAGGGAGAAAGGGCTTATTTTAGTTCACAATTCCAGGTTAAAGTCTATGCCTTCTGAAAAGTCCCGGCCGCGGGAGCTTGAAGCAGCTAATCACATCACAGCCACAGTCAAGAACAGGGAAAAATTCATGCATGTTTAGTGTTCAGCTAGCCTTCTACACTTGTGTAGTACAGAACCCACTGCTTAGGGAATGATTCTGTCCAAAATGGACTATGTCTGCCCACATGAATTAACATAAACAAGACAACGTCTCAGGATCGCCTCTGGGCACAGAGGGAGAAGAAGAAGAGAAAATGAAGTCAAAGGCCATGCAAGAAACATGAACACCAAAGGTTGGGGGACCCATCCTTGCCCAGAAGGTACTCACCCAGAAATCAGGGACTCCCTGAGTGATCCCAGTGTGAACTTGTATCCCCACTAGCTGGGAGGCCTTCAGCAGCTAAACTGACATGGCTGAGCTTTAGATTCTCATCTGGAAACATAAATGACAGCCTTTGGTCATTTCAAGGACTTCACTCATCAAACACTAAGAATGCAAAGCAAGATAGACATGTGTTTACTTTCTTCCCGTGACTTTTTCTCTTCCAGGCAGGAAGAGCCACTCTGAATGTGGGTGACAACATCCTGTTTAAGGGGGAAAGGAGGAAAGGAGGAAGCCAGATAAGAACCAGTATTTGCCTATTTTTGATTCTTGATTTACGTAGATGTTAAGTAGCCTCATGCTCTAACTAAAACTGACGAAAGTCAATCCTGCTGTTGTGTTTTGCCCTCCTTGCCCTCCTCTCTCTCTCTCTCTCTCTCTCTCTCTCTGTGTGTGTCTGTGTGTCTGTGCGCGTGTGTGATTGTGTGTGGTATAGATCCCTGTTTATGTGTTTATGGATGCTGATGATGACCGACTGCATTTCTCAGGCTTGTGTGTCCTTTAGATTTCCTGTTCTAAAATAAGCATTTTTTATGAATCTATGTGTGTTTGCTTATTGGAATATAGGAGATGGAACTCAGAACCTCAATCATGCTCAGCAAGTGCAGGTGTATGAGTGTTCATACAGGTATGTGTACATATGAAGGGCGGTCAGAGGTTGACGGTGGTGCCTTTACCAATCATTCTCCACTTGATTTTTCTTTGAAATGGGGTCTCTGGCTAACCGTGGAGCTCAGAAGTTAGCTAGACTGGCTGACCAGTAAGCTCCAGGGCTCTTCTTGTTTCTGCCTCCCTAGTATTGAGGCATGCATTGCCCAGAATTTGAACTCAGGTTCTCATGACAGTGAGAACTTTCTCTTGGCAAAGACAGGAGAAATCCTCCCAGACACTTGCAAACTAACTGGCCCACAAACTACTTCATCTCCATCAAGTTTATGAACTGAACTATCTCCCTAGTTCCTTAAGATGCCTTTCCTGAGTATCTGGTTACACCCGTGAGAAAGGTAACTAATAGAGTAACTTAAGGACAGATAAAACTATTTAAGGAGATACTTGGGGCCAGAGGTATGGCTAAGTTGAATAACACCCACCTAGCATGTGGAAGTCCCTGAGGTTCTCTCCCCAGCACTGAAGAAAAAAAAAAAAACAACTAAATCAATTAAAAGGATGGATACCCCATTCACATGACACCCCAAGAAAGTTATAAGACCTCACAGAAGTGTCACTTTTAAAGAGACAAAGCAAACTTGTTCTTCCTAAGAAGTAACAGAAAACTAAAGCTTTAGCACAAATTCAGTGATTATGGAATGATGCTCCTTGGGTCTTTTACTTGGTGTAACAAATAAGCAGAGATCCAGCACCTTCATGTTCTTTTTACATCTAGACACCCTCGGCTTCCAGTGGGGTAGAGCCCTGTCAGTTACTGCTTATTTCTTTAAGAATCAATGTCAGAGAAGACATGTTTGTTCTATTTTATGGGTTGATGGGGTACAGTCCATCACAGCAAGGGAGGTTTGGAGGCAGGAGCTTCGGGTGGCTGCTCACATTGTATCTGAGGTCAGGAAGCAGAGTCATGACTGTCAGCGCTCAGCTGGCTATCTCCTTTGTGTATAGCTTGAGAGGGTACACAGCCCATGGCGTGGTGTCATCCTCATTCAGAGTGGATCTTCCCATTTTAATTGCCTTAATCGAGACAATTCCTAACAGACATGTGCCGAGACGTGTCCCCTGGATGATTCTGGTTACTATCAAGTTGACCACATTAACAGTCCCAATCTATCGCAAGTAAGTCTAAATCAATCACAACAAATTCATTCTAAACTGAAAATATTTTAAATCCAAAATGTATTGAATAGTCTAAATAAATGCCCCAGTCCAGCAGTTATAGACATTCACTCACTCTTTAGATTGTGTGGCTGACCAAGAGCTGTAGGTTCCTGCCCAGCATCACCAGAAACTACTGGACCATCAACTGATACTCCAGGAAAAGGCAAATATTCAAACACTGAAGTCAAGTTAATCACTTCCATACTATCATAAAGTTTTGCTTGTTTGTTTTGGGGTTTGTTTTGTTTTTAAGTCAGAGGCTTGGAAAATGTCTCAGTGGGAGAAGATGTGCCACACAAGTGTGTGGATATGCATTCAGGTAGCCAGAGCCTATGGAAGAGCCAGATAAGGTAGTGCATATCTGTAATCCCAATGCCCCTTTGGTGATGTGAATGGCAGAGCTGGGAAAATCCATGGAAACTTGCAAGGCAGCTAGCCTGGCTAATGCTGGAGCAAACAAAAAGCACTGACTCAAGAGGGAAAGTGGGGGCTGACACCTGAGATTGTCTTCTGACCTTCTCATGCTGTGCACCGACACAGAGGAGGGCGTGCACGTGCACGCGCGCGCGCGCACACACACACACACACACACACACACACACACACGAGAAAGGGTAAAAAAGAAGTCAAAATCATTGTTACAATGGTTTGGGGGTGGGTTCAGGCACACTTAACTGGTTAATTGGGTCGCTGGCTCAGGGCCTCACAAGACTTAATTCCAGCTGTCAGCTGGCATGAGGTATCCAAGAAGACCCCCTCTGAGACAGGAGATAGGCTCCATTCTTCGTCCAAGTCCATCTGCTGTTGGAAGAGTTCATTTTCTTGCAGATGTAGAACTGATGGTGGTTGATTCCTCAGATCCAGCAAGACAGAAAGAAGGGCTTTTTCTGTCGGCAGTGGGCTCTCTTCTCCTAGGCTCAGTAGGCTGGGTGCACACAGGAAGAGCTCCCCTCTGTAGCTTATTCTAGGCCTTAATTCTAGCTGCAAAATCCCTTATTTGTGCCAGAAGAAACAGCATAATCATGGCATGATTCCCAACCCCTTCACCATCTTGTATTTGTTAGAAGTAACTTGCAGGTACCAGAATGGCGAGCCACTTTAAACTTCTATATACTGCAAATGGAGCAAGACAAATGTGGATGCATTTGCAATAAAAGGGCAACAACCATCTTTATCCTCAGTTTTCAGAGACCACGAGATTCTCAAGTAACTTCTAACCACTTCATCCATGGTAGATAGAGCTGGACCGAGCATGCATTCTCTCTCTCTCTCTCTCTCTCTCTCTCTCTCTCTCTCTCTCTCTCTCCTCTCCCCCACCCTTTCTCAGAGCTATTTTTAAGTATACCTCCTGTTCTCTCTTTGTACACCCTTTACCCGATTAAATGGGCAAAGGCTACTATTGCACCTTAAGGTAGATTGCAAAGCTGACACCAAGGACAAATTTACCAGTCACTTCTAGCAACTTACAGCAAACTTGAGTTGCAAGGTGGGGGTCAGAAACAGTGATGTTAGCAGAATCAGGCTCAACATCATGCTCCTGGCATATTGTACTTTTCAAACAGAGTCGCCTCATGTCTTTCTCCACCCTTGTCAAAGACTGTGAAGCAGAACGCTGGTTGGATCAAACAATTGTGGTTTTTAATCCAGATGTTTTGACCCTATAGGCAAAACTTTTCTGGATCTGGGAGGTTATCCAAAAATCTGGAGAAAATTAGATCTTTATTCTAAAATTAAAGTTCCTGTAAAAAGAAAATAGCAGGAAAGAAACCAAAATATTTAAGTTGTGGACAAGTCACAAAATATATGGCACAAATGTGGGTTGAAATTAACACAAATTAAACTATCATATGTCACTCATGCATATTTATAACCGCTAATTAAAATAGACTATGCAGTCTGTGAATTATTTATATCTACTAATCCTTAAGTGTTAGGTGTTTTTAATGAATACAGGATGTTCTTAAAATCATAACCAAATAAAAATCATTATTCATGTTCACTCATGGAGACAGCTTGGGCCATGTTTACCACACCCTAATGGTAAAAACACTGTAATCAGTGGGGATGCATGAAAGTATGTGGTGTGCATCCAGGAAATCTGGGTTCAAATCTTGCTTCAACTTTCCTCTGGCTTTGTAACTTTGGCAAAATCATTTATCCCTCTTAGTACAAGCTGCACAAGAGGGCATAGGAGACCCATCCCTAACTGACTTCACAGCCTCATAATTTCACCAGGTGGCAATGGGGGAAATGTCAGCTATCAGCTAAATTTCTTTTGCTGATCATGGGTTTGTTTAGTCTGCAGTGAAGCCCTGCTCTGTCTAACGTGGTAGCCCTAGCCACGTGAGGCCACTGAATCTTTGCAGTACGGCTAATCTTGAGGGAGATATACCGAGAGGATAAGATGTTTCAAAGACATAACACAAAACAGTAACGGAAGAGGTTAAAGAGATGGTTAAGTTGGTAAGGGCACTGGATGCTGTTCCAGAGGACCCAGATTTAAATTCCAACACCCACATAGAGGCTCACAACTGTCCATAACTCATTCAGGGGATTGGATGTCCTCTTCTGGCCTCCAAGGGCTTAAAGCATGCACATGGCTCACAGACCTGCACTTTGCACAGCCAAGATACCCATACACATAAAACAAATTAATTAACATTTTAAATCAAGCACAGTTGGAGATGGCAATACTTTGCTGATCATGTTGAATAAAATTCATTGTAAAGATCTCGTCTGTTCCTTTAGGCTTTCTGTAAATATGGCTATCGGAAGTTTTAAGTGTCACATGTGGCATGCGCTGTATTCGGCTGGAAAGCAGGAATGTGTAACATCTCTGTATTTTCAGAAGTGTGGCTATCAGAGCATCCCAGCCCTGCCTGCCTGGACCTCATCTCCTCTTGTTCCTTCCAGCTGTTAGTGTTGCTCTTCAGACACTCTGGCCCTCCTATCCCTCCCTCACCAAGCCAATGACCACCTGAGGACCTTTGCTCTCATAGCTCGGGGCTCCTGGAGTCCTCTCTCCATGCTGGCCCCACTTCCCACCTAAACTTCTTTCCCTCTCCTCTGATATGCTGCCGCTTCTGTCAGGCTTTCCTGGACCCTGGGGCACAGTGGTTTTCTCCTCCATGCATTTTTCCCTGGGCATCTTGAGAAATCTGCAGTTTGCTTAACTAAATATCTAGTCACTGGTTGAATCTCAGGTCCATCCACCAGATAGAAACCTGTGAGGACAACCCCCTTCCCTGCTGTGTTTACCATGTGTGAATATGAGATTCATTCAAAAATTGCATATCAGATACAGGGAGGGATGGTGAGGGTATCAACAGAACTGTCTTGAACCA